TAAGATTGACAAAGCTGACTGACTCCCAGCAGAACACAGGATTTGGCCAGTCGCTTCTTTGTCGGCTCCTCTCTTTTGGACCTCCACCAGAGCATATCTGTGATATCGACATACACCTGTGAAGGTCCAAATGCACAAGAATGTAATAAAATATTCGGTCTTTCACCGACGTATTTACCGGTGAATGTCGACATTCTCCAATTTCGGTCTTTCACGGTAACATATATATATACTGGTTACCGACGGTTGAACTCGATACATATAATTGGTATATTATGTGCTACTGTCGGTAATAGATAATCGTTGTCGATAACTAAACTGTTCTATCTTGGGATAATGAAGCGAACGTAAGATTGCCAAGATGGAGATTAGAAGCAAAAAATTTCTCCGGGAACGTTACACGTTTAATAAAATTCTAAAAACTGTGTACCCAAAGTAAGCGAATTTTTTATTTGAATGTCATTGTAGATATCCTGATAAAATGAGATACATTTTTAAGAAATAAAACGGAACATATAAAAAAATGGTCGTGTTATTTAGTAATATAATTTTTGATAATAAATTTTTCGTATTTGTTATCAAAATAATTTCATTTGATTTTAATCATTTTAATTTTTCGTCTTATGCTGATTAGCATCAGCATTAGAAAAGTAGACACTTCTGTTTTGTGTTAAGTTTAAACAATCATTTTTAAAACATTTTATTTAAATATTACTCTAACATTGCTAATTTATAAAGTTTTTTCACAGTGGTGTTCCTTGAACAATTTTTTAACAGAAACTGAGCTCCAAATATAATTAGAGTTAAATAACATTGGTTAATTTTCGAAAATTCATCTGTCCCGAACGGCGGCCATATAGCTGGACATCACTATAATTTCTTATCCTTTCATTTAGAATACAATAAATTCTACAAATATATTTATCGAAAAGAAAGTTTAAAATTAAACTAATATTTAATGAGTTATACTTAAAGATCAGTCACAGAAATGATGATCGTTTGAACGGATATACGAGCGATTGTTTGAGGTACTTGTGTGACTCGATACAATTAGTGTCGTTGTTCCGAGTGTAACCTTGCACTCGCCCTGACTAAAATTACACACCTGATCAGTGACTGTATCTTCGTAATTATATTTTTATAACGAATTCTTTCACTTTCATAATTTAACCGTTTCTCATTTTCTTTATGTTCCCTTTTATTTTCGATCACGTAATATCTTAATAGAATGATTACTATAGCCGGTATCAGACTACGCAGTTTCTAATGTTCCTTGGAAAAGCTACTTGATGTTGAGGGTTTATTTGTCTTTTCTCCGACTCTTTTACCCAACCAATAAAATATTACCTTTTTCGAACGTTTAACCACATACAATGAATCCTTTAATTGAATATGCATAAATATTTCATATATACTAGATAAAAATACATGAGGAAATTATTATAATAAAAATTGTTTAACATAAGAGAAAACTTGTAAATATTATGCTTAAAATATTCAATACTTTCCCCTGTCTTAGAGTTAAATACACATTCTACTTAAAACAGGTAATTAATATTTCGATTAAAAAGCAAAATTGCAAAGAATTTATTGCAGTGTGTTTTTTTGTTGATACGACACCATTTCTGTTTGAAACATTTAAGTTCACTTTAGATATTAAATTTCGCATTGAAACAAATTCTATTTTATTTTTCAACGTGCAATTTAACAAAACTTATTATTCATTGGTAAATTGTTTCCTCCATTTTATAATCCAAGCCACTATGTAAGTACAGCGCTTCACCAAATTGGCTACAAACTCTTTTTCGTAATTGAGTTTCATATTGAAACCAATTTTATTTTGCTTTTAGTAAGGTATTATTTCTGATAAAAAATATTAAGATATTATTTAAGAAGTGCAAAATTCCGATTTTTTGAAAACTACCAAATTTTACTGCGGAATTTAAAAATCCTTTATGGCAAGCACCGATGAGTATACACGTCAAACACAAAGCAAATACTTTTATTAAAAATTTCACGAAAGAAGTGAAGCAAAAAAAAGCAAGAATACATTTTTATTCGATAAAAAATGAAATCGTAAATCACACCTAGTTTTGGATTGACGTGTATACGTGTTGAACGCAATAAACTGGTTAAAATATTATGTCAAGATACACATTCAGTCGGAAGATATTTATTCCGTGTATTCAATAGGGAAGAAAACTTGTGTCCCTTGTAAGAATAACTTTAACTCAACCGAATTGTATTTTCAGGACGATACGTGGGTTCGCGTCCCATAAAACTGAGGAAGAGCTCGTGGAAGCAGCGAAATATGGAGACGGTGCGAAAAAAAGAGAAAGAGAAACAAGCGTTAATTGGTTTGCTGACAGGACGGTGACGTGATATCTACCCTTTTCTTTCCGTTTACACCCTTAATTGGATCGTATCTGGCTTTATCGAACAAATTCTCACCGCGTTATCATGTGTAAGGTATTCTCGACGATTGATAGGTGTTTTTTAACAATCACGATTGGATAGTGTAGATATGTTTAACAAATTTGTTGAAATCAAATATCATGTAATATTGTGTACAAAATGCAGGAGGAAATAAATTCTTACTTTAATTCAATTTCCTGAATGACGTTTAAAAGCTTAGCTTCAATCCTTTTTTTAGAGAAACATCCTACAAACAATTGTGTTTTTATTTCTTTGCAGTAGCGTATCAACTTGTTGAGTGGATCCAGATTACTTTATATAATCAGAAACTTGGATAATGTGAAAAAATCGTTGACTAGACTGCGGATGCTTATGCATTTATGATGTATTAAAGTTTTCAATACGAAAATAAATCGTGTAGTTTGTAAGTGATAGATTTTATAGATCACGTAATTCATTTATATTTTTCAAGCCTCGATATATCATAAATGTATAAATACCCCCAATCTACTATTTGATGGTGAAATTATTATAAGGTGTAGTAGAGTAAGTTCGTAAGCGGGGCAAGTGCATATACAGGCTATTTTTATTACAATATGAGCAAAATTTCTTCATTGAGTATGTTTGTTTCCATGTTTTGTTTCACTATATCCTCTTTTATATTTCAGCTAAGAGTACTTGTTTACTGTATAGAGTACTTGCATAATGCAGTAAAAAGCATTTTATAGCAAATTTGTTAATAATTCTGCTCTTGCCCCATTGCACATGAAATAAAGTTTCAAAGTATTTTAACTTCAAGTTACTCTCTTACCCCATTTTCGGGGAAAGTGCAGAATAGTTGGCATTTTAAACAATTTCCTATCAAAATCAAAATGTACAAGGAAAATTAAGGTCCTAGTTAATATTAATTAAGTAGTAGTAATTGTGCAAAGCGTTCGATATCGACAGCGTTAAGTATTTACATAGCAGACTGAAAATACTTACGTTTAAATACCAACTTTACAAAAACCAGTCTGCACTTATCCCACTTCACCTTACTCAAGTAAAAATGACATATTTTATAACTATAACCGACAGAATAGAATAAATACTTTCACTGTAATGTTACAGTATATTATTTTCACAATATAATATATTAATATGTTGTACATTTTGTAAGACTATTATTTTTTAACGGTAATACATGTAATCAAAAGTAATAATTGAGAACTTAAACAGAAATCAAACATATTAAAGTAACTTAAACATTGTCTACTGATATACTTAAATATTATATTAGTCAGTTAGTTTCTCTATTTGAAAACTTTTAAATATTTGTAGACTTTTGAACTTCTGAAATGTATTAAATTTAACAGCTGCTAATGGTTCTTGATATTTAATTGAAAAATATAATAAAATATGTTATTTACTAATAAGAGTGATCACGTTCACAGAGAGCTCTATGAAAAATACAAAAATATTTTTCTTTTCATTAAATAAGTGTCACCCTAATCTATAGATAGCCACATTAATGTTTGGACACAATAGTGTGCCTGTATTTATTGTTTTGCATAAAAGAAGTTAACGTAAATAATTACATTATTTATTTTATTGAAAAATGAACTATTTGGTGCAGATTAAAAATACTTCAGCAATTTCAATTTGCTATAATAATTAAAGAAGAAATTGTTTTGAACAAAATGTATTTTCACAAGTTTTATATTTGAACACTGTTACAGTTTTATTTTATTTTAGATAAGAATATTTGGGCCTTTTAACAAACTTACTAAAAAGTGTAATTAACATGCAAATACAAAACACCTTTAAATTTTATCAGAATTATAATTCAAAGGACAAAGCTCGAACAGTGCAGAAATATTTGTTGTATAATTGTCCAAAAGTTTGACATCCACCATAATCCCCAGACATAAATTTCATAAAGAATGTATGGAATAAATTGAACCAAAGAATTAGAACATCAATAAATTCAAAAGTTGAATAAGCAAAGCTGAAAGAAGAATGGAATCCTGTTTTTTCAGAATATTTGCAAATTATTTTAATATGCCCATACGATTACATGTAGTTCTTAAACAAAAAGGGTTTGCAACAAAATATTTTTGTAGCTTTTCCTACACTTTAAAAATAAATTCTTTATTTTTCATAAAACGTCCAAACATGTGAAAATGTAACAATTTGTTGTTTAAAATGTATTACGCGTCGAAATGTTGAAGTTGAAAAAAAATTATTTATATACATTTAATCTACAATAAATGATTATTTTTGTAAAATAGACAGCATGATAAATAAATCATCTTTTCCTGTATGCAATAATCAACGGAAGTATTGCAGTGTCCAAGTAATGTTAGTAATTGTACATATTGTACATATTAAATTTTACGTCTGAATGAAGCCAATTATGGAAACACCGACTGCAAATTCGATTATGACATGTCTATATTTTCACCTCGAGTGTGATGAAAATGCGCATACACCGAATAAGAAAGAAATTGAATATATGTAAAGTACAAAATGTCTGAATACCCAGAAAATGTCGGTGAACATGGAGAAGAGGAGATAAATCCTTTAGGGGTAAATTCCCTTTTTCTGTTTCGTAGAAATTGTATTTGCATGTTCAAAATCTTCATTAAGCTCCCCAAAAAAATGTGAAAATAATTAGAGTAATGTCATATTTCATTCTAAAATGCAACGTTCCGCGCATTTCGAGGGCGTAAAAGAATATCCTTGTTCGTTTTTCATTATGAAAATTTTACAATAATGGAATAACAATAGCAAAATTCAAACATATTTATAATTATTACGTATATACGTTTAAGAAATATTAAAAATATATTTAATATTAATAGAAGAGAGAATCAAAGTGTTTATTACTTTGGTTTCACAACAGATTAATTTATTATACATTTATGATCCATTTAAGTTGAATTATATGTTCTTAATACAGCTGAATTTGATTTTTAAACATTACATACCCAGATTTCCCAATTTCCTGTCAAATATCTCAATATCTAAATTTCTAAAATTTTAAATGTCAAATACCCAGATTCGCAAACTTCCAAATTTTTTAACCTTCCTATTTCTTAATATTCAAAATTTCAAATATTCAAATACTAAATTCCAAATACTCAAATTTCCAAATTTCAAAGTCTCCCACTTTCTAAATTTTCATATTTCTAAATACGAGATACGCAAATTTATAAATTTCCAAATTCCTAAATTTCAAAAACTATAAATTCTTACATCTAAATACAAACTCTTAATGAATGGTAACCTAAATATTCATATTACTATCAGAATCTTAACAGATAATAATTAAATTATGTTATCATTATACCAACTTCCTAATAAATTTATAATAAATTATTTTGCAGCAAATTAAGGGTAATTAAAATCATTAAATAAAAAGTTAACATTCGATAAGCTATAATTATAATAAATATTGAAAAAATTTGTCTAAAGAATTATCGACGTAATCTCAGTTGTATGAAGGTGAACGAAACGAACGCGGAGATCGACATGGTCTCGGAAGAGCGTTGCTTCCAAACGGTGATATGTACGAAGGACGATATTGCAAGGGATTAAGACATGGTCGAGGATTGTATGTATTTAAAAATGGAGCACGATACGATGGAGAATGGAGACAAGGTGTGAAATATGGCCAAGGAACTTTTTGGTACCCTGACGGGACGCGATACGAGGGTAACAAAACAATGTACAGTAATCTTTCGAAAATAAATTCTTTAAAAAATCTTTTTCATTAAGTATACAAAATTAATGTGTATATTAATTCCATATTAACTTATTAATGCGTTACTGAAAATCTAATGAGTAAAAAATTGAAATATTAATAAAAAATATTTCTTATGTTATTAAATAAAGAAGATGGGACAAAAGCTAGAATTTTTTATTATTTAATTACTATCCCCTATGTTGAGATAGAAGGTGGAAAATCAATGGAAGTGTTTTTTTTAGAATACATTATTATCTTCAAACAATATACACCTCAACCACCATGTTATCTCTAAAATATATACATTTAACAGGCGAATGGAAACGGGATACGAAATACGGTTTCGGTGTGTATTACTACGTGAACGGCGACGTTTACGAAGGTTCCTGGAAGAAGGATCTTCGACATGGTATGGGATCTTACCTTTATGCTGACACGAACACGAAATTTATGGGCACCTGGATTATGAATCGTATGCAAGGCCCAGGACAATTGATTCATCCCCGACATCGATTCCACGGATTTTGGGAATTAAATTTGGTAATCTGAAAATGAACATTAGAGATGGGTTTCTCGAAACGATGAGACGATATTTAAGGATATTAAGCTTATTAAATACCTAAATTGCAAATGTCTACACTCTACACTTTCAAACCCTCACATTTTTAAACTTATATTTTTCCAAATCGATTGATTTTCAAATTTCTATGAATCCATGTTCTTATGTTCAGAAAAAGGTACATTTCTAAATCCCTATATTCCAAATCCGTACTTTTCCAAATCACTATATTCCCAAATTTTCACATTTTCAAATTTCTCATATTCCAAAATTCATACATTTCCAAATCCCTACATTCTTAAATCTCCACATTCTGATATTACCAAGTTTTTATAATTTCTGAATTTTTAAACTTTCTCCAGACAAAGCCAAACTTAATCTCGAGTTATACATGGTATAACGTATAATACGTTATTTTGGGAAGATTTGTAATCGTAAAATTGCAGATCTTTATGAGTCGATGCAAGTGATATATCACATAATTTAGCCACTATTATTGAAGTAAATACAGTCCCCGGCCATCAAATTAGAACCACTACAAATTTTCACGTTTTTCACGTAGCATTTTTCACGTTTTCCGTAAAATTGAAAGACCTATTCAAATTATAATGATATCATTTATTACTTGTATTATTATTATTATTATTTATACTATTTATATTAGCTACTAACATGAAAAGCTATTACTATACATAACAGTATTGACCGTATTAATATTTTGTACTTCTACTTTTTGCTTTTAGCCTTTGTTTTTATATCTCTTTTATATCTTCATTACTTTCCCACATATCTGTAATTCCGTTCAACTCAGATAATGTAATTGGAGAGTTGTAAACTAGTCTTTTGAGTAGACTCCATTCACCAAATTTGATCTTACGTGTTTTCGATACTCGAGCTTAACGTAAACGCTCGCACGGTCCTTAATCCCTCATCATTCACTCAATTTATTATCAGGATAATAACAAAATGCTATGTATATGTATATCGTTATCAGCGTATTTAGTAATAATTTGCATGGCCTAAAGCAATTGTCCATATATGACATGATGTTATAGGCATAAAAGTGAAATTATAGTACAGTTACGTGCAAAAGTTTCCGGCCAGTTACATTTTTCGCTGTATATTCTATACGCGATATCTAAAAGAATTTCCTATAAAATTAGATGGAAGGATGTCACAAAGAAACATAAATAATACAAACAATGAACACTGTTTATTGTTATCTTTATACTTATTAACAAAATTATTAAACTAGCATAAGTTTCCGGCCACATCATTTTACAAAAGATATCCTGCAATATGACATAGTTAATATTTATTTTATTATACGTTACTGTTAATTTGTACTTGGTCCTAATTCGATAGCCAGACTGTAGATCTTGAAAACGTAAAAAACTTCTAATACGCGCTTAAGTTGCTGTGTTACATCAAAAAATAACATTGTCGTAACAGTACAGGAACACAGTCAATTTTCAAATTTAATTTTTTAAAGGCTGAGCCAAAAATAAATAAATTATATTTTATATTTCTTCTTATTTCTCCGTAAGAAATTACAGTTATGAGATATAATCGAAGAACAAGTTACTAAAGAAAAATTTGATTATAGCCTTATGGTCGAGGTTGTTTTACTTTCGAGAATTCTTGTATGCAACATGGTCATTATATACACGTTAAGGATCCTGATTATGTTGAAACCAAGGAAGAAAATGAAGTTGAGGTTCAACCTCAACCTGCGAATGAACCTGAAACTCAAGCTGAAGATATTGAGGTATTACTCTGTATTTATACATATAATATTATATGATATTTTTATCATGTATCAAACAAATATTCTTTCACTTATTCTTTTACTCCTTTTTTACTTATTTTAGTATAAGTATTTAGACTGCAATTTAATATTTAGATCAACTTCCACTAAAAAATGTGGTACACTTTTTAAAAACTTACGTTTATCACAAATTTATTATAACGCAAATATATTTAAATTTGATAACGTAATGTTATATGTTGATACAAAATTATATTATCGTGTAATTATATTACTGATTATATTACTGATTAACGCAATTATATTGTTTTATAATTATAATTATATTATATGCTTCATGGAAATAAATCATATGTTATTGTATTTATTAATATTATTATTATTACTGTAAAATTGCTATGTATAAGAGCGCATATGTTATCAGATTTAAGTACTTATCTTTTCATAGTTTCATTTCGGTTTACAGCCTACAAATTCTAATCTGTAAGAAAAAAGTGGAATATTTGACTAAAATTTTGCTTTTTCATTTATATAACAATAATTTCTTGTATTATGGATATTTTATTACTTACATAATGATTTTTAAGATGTTATCAATTAATCAACAAATATTTAATAATCAAGAACTGTTTTCGATTATTGAATTTAATCATTTTCTTTTTGTAACAATATGCACAAGTACTCTCTAATAAAGGAAAGAATTAATATCGAAGTATTCTAAATCGAATAAATAATGATGATGAGAAGCACTGCATATTTTGCCAGTAAAACAGAAAGTTAACTTATTTCAACAGAACATTATCAGAATATGTTTTCATGAGAACAGTATTGCAAAATTAGAATATTTTTGCTTTTCAAACAAATTTAAAATTTGTAAAATCTGAGTTTTAATTTTCTCCCGTAATTGCTCATGAATTACATTATATTTCATTTTAAATTTAAAACAATATTTTTGACACTGAGTTCAAAAAATGATCTATTTAGGGCAAAATAACAGTGCTAACAGTTTTTCAGACGAATTTTTCTTGTAATCAACACTCATCCTAACTTACAAAAGTTTTCGGGTTATACAATTTAAAAACTATTATAAAATAAAAGATTATAAAAATTATTTTACAAAATGTTCAAGTGCATATAATAGTTTAGTCATAAATTTCTAAGAATATGTTATAAAAAAGTTTGACCATTCAATCAAATATGTCATTTCATGAACATTATGAAGTACTGATTAATCATTCGTTTTTAAAATTTAAACCTTCATTATTTAACTCTTCAGAGAAAAATCAAATTTACCTTAATTATTTAGATCGTTAGATAAAGTTGTTATAAATACACAAATGATTGCTCTTTTAATTGAATTTATTACAAATGTTGAAAAGCTAACAGTAACTTCAGAATGAAGAAGAAAAATATAGACGAAGTATTTACTTTTTAGATATTAATAAACTAATTGTTCCTAACATTTTTATTTTATACATTATCATGAAGTTTCTAGTTGTATACTGCAAATGTTGTATTTAAAAGTTAGAAGAGGAGAAATGTAGTCAAAATATTAATAATACAAGATCCTTGTGATCATGTATCCTCCTGATCAACTATTCCACTGTTTCCCTATATTTTTGCATGATTTTTTATTATTCTTTTAGCAGAAAATTAATCAAGTTACTTCAAATATTCAGTATTTACTTAGAAAATAAGAAAGTAAATATTATCGAACAAATAAATATTCATAAATATATTTTTGAAATAGAAAACGTTGGAAAAGACGGTAGCGACTGAACCTCCGCCATTTAAACCGCCTCCTCTAAAGAAAGGTGTTATTCCAATATGGCGGGCACGTTGTATCACGCCTTATAATCCTGACTTATTACCACCTGAACCGGTACCTCTTCAAGAAGAGGTAATTGTACATGTAACCTAACCTAACAAAATTGATATTATTTATTAATAATTTACGAGGCAAATTCTCGTTCCAAGGTGTCGATTTTAAGCGATTTATAAGATAAAGAATTATTGAGTTATTATTGCTTGAGGGTTTTGAAATCTTGTATGATCAAGAGCAAATCTGGTTATCCTTACAAAAAATATGGCAACTAATACTGGAGTATATTTTCATGAATTTTTAGAGATTTGATAATTTGTAGATAAGTTAAAAATTTGAAGTTTATGTATATGAAAATGGGAAAATATTCCAAATTTCTAAGTTCTCTAATTTATAAATTCTCCAATCTTCAAATACGCAAATTTATAAATTCTCGAGTTCTTAAATACCCAGATTTTCAAATACTTAAGTTCTTAAATTCCTTAAATTCCTAAATTTATAGATCTACATATTTCTTGATTCTCCAAATTCTCACATTTGCCTCTACATTTGGAAATTTCTACTTCTTAAAACTCGCCAATTTCTGAATTCTCATATTTCAAAATTGCCAAACATTCATATTCCTAAATATCTAAACTTTTTAAATTCTTAAATTTCCAGATTTGAAAATTTCTAAATCAGTTATTTAATAAAATCGTTTAATTTTCTAATTCTAATATTTTTAAATTTTCAAATCTTTAAATTCCCAAATTTTCGTGTCTCTAAATATCCAAGCATTCAAATTTTCAAATATTTAGATTTCCTAACTTATAAATTTCTAAATTTTTCAAATATCTAAACTTCCTAATTCCGATATTTTCAGATTTCCACATTCTTTAGCTCCCAAATTTCTATATTAGTTTACACATAACTGCCGTGGAAGACCTGAACCGGTACCTCTTCAAGAAGAGGTAATTGTACATGTAACCTAACCTAACAAAATTGATATTATTTATTAATAATTTACGAGGCAAATTCTCGTTCCAAGGTGTCGATTTTAAGCGATTTATAAGATAAAGAATTATTGAGTTATTATTGCTTGAGGGTTTTGAAATCTTGTATGATCAAGAGCAAATCTGGTTATCCTTACAAAAAATATGGCAACTAATACTGGAGTATATTTTCATGAATTTTTAGAGATTTGATAATTTGTAGATAAGTTAAAAATTTGAAGTTTATGTATATGAAAATGGGAAAATATTCCAAATTTCTAAGTTCTCTAATTTATAAATTCTCCAATCTTCAAATACGCAAATTTATAAATTCTCGAGTTCTTAAATACCCAGATTTTCAAATACTTAAGTTCTTAAATTCCTTAAATTCCTAAATTTATAGATCTACATATTTCTTGATTCTCCAAATTCTCACATTTGCCTCTACATTTGGAAATTTCTACTTCTTAAAACTCGCCAATTTCTGAATTCTCATATTTCAAAATTGCCAAACATTCATATTCCTAAATATCTAAACTTTTTAAATTCTTAAATTTCCAGATTTGAAAATTTCTAAATCAGTTATTTAATAAAATCGTTTAATTTTCTAATTCTAATATTTTTAAATTTTCAAATCTTTAAATTCCCAAATTTTCGTGTCTCTAAATATCCAAGCATTCAAATTTTCAAATATTTAGATTTCCTAACTTATAAATTTCTAAATTTTTCAAATATCTAAACTTCCTAATTCCGATATTTTCAGATTTCCACATTCTTTAGCTCCCAAATTTCTATATTAGTTTACACATAACTGCCGTGGAAGCAAGACGTGTGTACGGTATCGCTCGCGAGTGCCAATTATAACGGGTGTTCACAAAGTGCAGTACCGTGCGCGGTTATATCACGCGTGTTAGTGTAAGTGGTGTGGTTCGGAACGGTGCACATATGCACCAACCAACCATCATGCAAACAAGCGAAACCAACGAGCCCAAAAGCTCGCAACATATCACCCTCACTGAAGCTAATAGATCTAAAGAACCAACAAAATCGGACGGCATCTCAATCAAGGAATATGCGTGTGCAGTGGGAGGAATAGTAGGCCCAAAAGCAGTAAAGTACATATCCCGAATCGCCAACGGAAGGATTTGTATTTATCTAGATATGTATTTATCTACACCGGCTCAACGCATCATACTTTCCAACGTGTCACCAGTTTTACCAAGTAAAACAATAGAGGAAATTTTCACCAAAAATAAAGTAAGACTCAACTCCAGAATCACACCCTTAAAAGCAGGCATGACAGACCCTGAGTACCCCCACATACTAAGCTTTAGAAGACAGGTATATGTTAACCCAGAAGATACCAGTAAAATACCCGGATTATTCACCGTTACATTTGAAGATACCGTATACAGAATATTTACCACATCTGACAGTTTGAACTGTTTCATTTGTAAACAGGAGGGCCATATAGCTAAACAATACCCCCGCCATACCGATCTTAGCGAAAATGAAATGATTACGGATGATACTAATACACAAATACAGCATACTGCGACAACGAGCACACTTAATCACAACACGAAACCAATAGAACAAATACAAACCACCGCAGAAAAGGATTCAGTAAACACATCTCCTATCGTACACATACTCAATCAACCCATAGAAACACCAACCGGTCAAGAAGAAAAAATGCAAACTGTACCTATCCTAGAAACAACAATTAACCGAACCAAGAGACCACTCTCTGAAGCCTCATCCGAAAATCCACCTAATCCGACAATTATGGACAATGAGAATAATTTCAAAACACCAAAAACATATACCAACACCAAAACACAGGCTTCAACGAACAATAAGGAAAAAACTATTAAAACTAGCATCCCCGAGCGCAACGACCAAGACCATAAACGAAATGCTCGCCCCAGCAAAAGGTGAAATTGAAGACCCGAAGAAGAAATACATCCTCAACTTTGACCAATTAATAAGTTTTTTGGAAAATGCATTCGGCGCCCCAAATCCAATCGATATTGCCCAAGAGTACACTGGAAACCCACTTGGCGTAATCGTAATGTTAACATCGATACACCCACTATTAACAGACCGCAGCATAAAAAAATAATTTTAATAAAAAAAAAGTACGCCGACTTCGAAATGCACTAAAAAGTATAAAATAATTTCTATTTGCTAATGAAGTAATTTCTATTTCATTCAATCATACAATTACGTAACAAATATGAATGAAACCTATTTACTCGTTAGGTAGTATATTAAATACATTTCAACCTTTTCGGAGGCGGCGCAATATTTTCCTGGATACACCCATGTCTATATTGACGGCTCCAAGAGCGATCTTGGAACAGGTGCAGCTGTATTCACGCAAAGTACTGCAATAAAACACGGAATGAACCCTTTCAATAGCATCCACATAGCCGAAAATTACGCGCTCCTTTCTGCTCTTGAATTCATCGATAAATCTCCTCATTCTACATTCATCATACTTTCCGATTCCCTTTCCACTATTCTAAAGACCCAAAACCTGAAGTAGACCATGGAAATCCACACAACAATACAAGAACTATACGACAAATTAACTACACATGGGAAGAAAATAACGATAGCGTGGGTCCCTTCCCACATGGACATCCACGGGAATGTCTTGGCCGATCTCGAAGCAAAAATTGCAGCAACACTACATCCGGATAATCAACCTCTCTGCAGCACCTCTATGGACATCAATAATCATCTAAAGTCACTATGGAAACAGTCATGGAATCGAGCATGGGAAAACTACAAAGCAAGCACACTTCACAAATCAACAAACAGTTTCTACAACCTCAAAACAAACTCCAATTTCAACAGAAGACAGCAAACAGCAATAACTAGAATCAGAATTGGTCATACCAAACTGACACATTCGTATATCCTAAACAACAGTCTCCCCATTCTATGCGAATCATGTAATGAACCCATAAGTATCAACCATATTATACTAGACAGCAGGAAATATAACGATGAACGTAGAAAATTTAAACTCAAGGACGACCTCTCAGAAGCAATCACCTCTACATCATATCAAGACTTCCTAATTACATTCTGCAAGACGATCGGAATTTTTTGCATGATATAAAACCCTATACAACATGCAACCTTCTCCTAAATTAATCAATTAAAGACAATAAGTATCTAAAATAGTCGATAGTCTTAATGACCTTGATGTTGATGCGACTTTAAACTGTCAACAAAAAAAAAAAACAAAAAAAAATTCTATATTGTCAAATTTCTAAATATTCAAGTTCCCAAATTTCCATTTTTCTAAATTACTTATTTTAAAAATTTCTTAACTCTCTTAATTCCTACATTTTTAAATTTTCGAAGTCATATATTTAAATATTTCTAAATTCTAAATTTCTAAATTCTAAATTTCTAAATTCTAAATTTCTAAATTCTAAATTTCTAAATTCTAAATTTCTAAATTCTAAATTTCTAAATTCTAAATTTCTAAATTCTAAATTTCTAAATTCTAAATTTCTAAATTCTAAATTTCTAAATTCTAAATTTCTAAATTCTAAATTTCTAAATTCTAAATTTCTAAATTCTAAATTTCTAAATTCTAAATTTCTAAATTCTAAATTTCTAAATTCTAAATTTCTAAATTCTAAATTTCTAAATTCTAAATTTCTAAATTCTAAATTTCTAAATTCTAAATTTCTAAATTCTAAATTTCTAAATTCTAAATTTCTAAATTCTAAATTTCTAAATTCTAAATTTCTAAATTCTAAATTTCTAAATTCTAAATTTCTAAATTCTAAATTTCTAAATTCTAAATTTCTAAATTCTAAATTTCTAAATTCTAAATTTCTAAATTCTAAATTTCTAAATTCTAAATTTCTAAATTCTAAATTTCTAAATTCTAAATTTCTAAATTCTAAATTTCTAAATTCTAAATTTCTAAATTCTAAATTTCTAAATTCTAAATTTCTAAATTCTAAATTTCTAAATTCTAAATTTCTAAATTCTAAATTTCTAAATTCTAAATTTCTAAATTCTAAATTTCTAAATTCTAAATTTCTAAATTCTAAATTTCTAAATTCTAAATTTCTAAATTCTAAATTTCTAAATTCTAAATTTCTAAATTCTAAATTTCTAAATACTAAATTTCTAAATTCTAAATTTCTAAATTCTTATATTCTCCACATCCTTAAATTCCTAAATTTCCAAATACATCGCTAATGACCTGAAGGTCGATGTGATGTAAATCCTGAATTAAAAAAGAAAAAAAATCCCCACTTCTCTACAATCCTAAATTTACAAATTTCTAAATTTCTAAAAGGTAATTCTCGTAAATTAATAATACCTGATATGAAGCTTTGACACTGTAAGTAAAGTTAGAGGACAGCAGATAAAATCATAATTACCTACAACTACTCCCACACGCTTTTATAACTTATCTCGTCAACTATTCAAGATGTTTAAGGAATATTTTATTTCTTATCTTATATATTATCTTACCTTTTCAAGATAAAATTACCTACTTACATTTCAAGATTATCAAAACCAAGTAAAATGCCAATGATCCAACTTAAAATATTAAAGTCTTAAAGTATTAAAATATTAAAAAACATTGCGTAATATCAATTCGAAATATTTATACAGTATATTTAAAATATATTTCGTTTCACTAATTTTTTGATAAGTAAAAAGACTAATACTTAGAAATTTACAGGATTGAACAATTTTTTGATATGATAAATTTATATACTAAAGAATTTAAAAATTGTTAAAATCAAAACTACCAATAAACAAATTATGCAATATTGTATACATGTTTAAAATAAGTATTGGAAAGCTATTCGACAATATCCGGTTGATCTATTTCACAAATTTGTTACGACGGCGTTCAGAGACATCCGGAAAGCGGAAGTAGACAAAATGAACGATCTAAATTAGTTGCTTGTGGTCTGACAAGCGTTTCCGGTCGCTTTCCATTTTAATCAGACAAGCTTCAAACTTCATATTCAATTGATAAAATTACGATATCCGTATTCAAAGTCACCTTTGGTTTACGTAACACATCCGTTCGTTGAAACAATTCAATTATCCAACAACTGCTATCATTTTTTTTTTTTTAATTAAACATAACAAGTTCGTTTTCTTAGACCAAATCATTGAGTAATTTCTTTCAATTGTTTAGGTATCCTTGGATTCTCTCGTGGATAAATGTTCAGAAGATATATCGAAAGCAGAGGAATATTTGAAATACGAGGATGAATATGAGGGAGAATATGAAGAATATTATGGAGAAACTGATCGTCCAAAACCGCCTCTTGAACAGATTTAAGTGGATAAATGAAAATTTTGTATACTCAAACAAAATTAAATTGAACTTAAACTGTTTGAAATATAATTTAATTATTTTAAATATAATTTGTTTAAATATCAAATTTAATTATTTTAATCATAATTGTTTTAAATATCACATTACTTAGTAGGTAAATTTATTTAATCTTGCTATTATATTAATACAAATAAGATATTTTCATTTTAAAGAGCTATAAGATGAAATGAGAATAAATCCATTTATTCCCATTTCAAGAATAAAGAAATCAGAATAAGTCCACTTATTATCATTTCAAGATATTTCAAGATTTGCGTTTGAATTGATTTTAAAATATTAGTAAATGTTGATTAATGTTTTTAAAACTGTGAGCTTGTTGGATTTTGCTGATATAATAATTAATAAAATTATTAAAGAAAGTAAGCGATTTTTTTAGCTGCAGATCATCGATAATAACAAACTATAAACAACATGAACAAAAGCAGTTTTAAATTTATATTTTAATTGCAGTTGGTTTTTTTGAAATTATTTTAATACAAAAGATGATCATTAAATCGAAAATATATTAACAGACGATCAATTGACTTGATTAGAAAGTATTTTCAGTTACATTATACTATAAAAGTTTATAACAAAATGTGGAACTATTACGTTAAGATAACTAGTAATAGAATTTTTTTATATTTCAATCTTATTTCTTACTTCTTTTCTTACTGATATTGAATCTGAGTTTTATTAATATAATGAATAAAAGTTAAAATATTCCTGCGAAAATATTTATTACTATTTCTTATCAACAGCATTGTCAGACAAAATCGAGACATTATCGTTTTATAGGCATTATAAATCATTGTGCAACAGATTTTATGATTTGATAACGACGATATCAGATAATATTTACGTTAAAATCTATTAGATTAAGAAGTACAGATCACTTAAAGTTTGCAAAAAAAAGTAAACGGAATGAGAAAAATGAGACTTCTATTTATAAAATGATAAAATCATTCTATCTGAACAATAACACCGTTATCGTCTCTATTATATTGTGTTTTATATGCAATTTATTGAAAGTTGTTTCACTTATTGATTATTTCGAATGAACTTATGTCTCTTTTAAAAACAACATTCTTGCAATTACATTTAACAACTATAATTCTGTTGACTAATTCATAATACTAATTCAAAAGAAAACATCTACATCTAACTAAAAACTATTATCAACTAATTCTTGCAAAAATAAAACTTATGTCACTTAAAAAAAACAACTCTTACATATGTAAAGTTATAAATGTAAAGTTTAACGTTCTGTATAAAGTTCATCATGATTTGATAACATAAAATGTCACAATATAAGGCTTATAGCATATCAAAGCTTAAGGTTTTATAAAAATAATATACATATATGTGCTACTGTTAAAGATATCAAAATACTTCCAAGATAAGTTAGTATATTTCAAAGAAGTTAAATTATTCTCATAATCTTTTCAAAATCATATCTTCTAAGACTTCATAATAATATTTATTCTTTAAATAGAACTTCATATACTTTAATTTAATACAATATTTATTTCATTCTACTATGCATGCTATACATATAATTAACATATTTGTTAGACTCCCTGGTACAACACAAATGCATGTTAATTTGTATTTTCGAGCATAGAGGATAAATGATTAAATGAAAAGGCGACATGGTTTTTTTAAGCAGTTTATTTAGGAAATTATTATAATAACAAATGTGCGTGTGTGCCCATAATATTGAACAACGTAAGAATTTGATACGTAGGCACGCATAGATCTTGTTGACAAGTCGCATCGTCGAAAAAGTGTACGGTGTATTACATTGAATTAGCGATAAGTATACAACGCGAATACGTGTATATATTCGTATGTCTGCTAAGCAATACGTTCAGATCGAAGAAAATGCAGTCTATTCGGTTTACTTGAATGATACTTTACATTACAATCATAGATTACACGAAGTATTTTCGTTTTCCCTAAATTTTAAAAGCGCAAGCTCGCTCGTTTGCCCTTTCGCATGCGTGCAAGCGTGTGTCCAAAGGTACATACGTAACAAGTCGAACGCAAAACACGTATTAGAACCTATGGGGTTTCGACGTTATATATACACCTCTTAAATTGGACTTAAATAGGAAGACGAAAATAGTCGCTTGAAAAGTAGGTAAAGATGTATGAAAGTGGAAGAAATATTAGTTTTAAAGTTGAGGTTCTTATCATCCTCCGCTATCGGTCCTAAATACCAATCAGACGTGAAGATTTCTTAAAAAAATTTTCTTTTCTTTCTAACAATACTAATAAATACTGGCATTTGAATAGCTTCGAAATACTAAAAGGAGCGTGTATTTAATATACATTTATATCACCCTTTAGTCTTTAAATGAGTCTTTTTATAAAACAGTGTTGTTCGACTACATTGACATTAAAGGCTCAATGGAGATCGAAAGGTTTTTAAAAGGACGGAGGAAGAGGGCAAAGGAATAAAAAATGTGTTGCGATATATCGCAGTCTTCCAATAATAAGCTATTTGTACAAGTGAACGAACCCTTTTCGCTTGTACAGAATCGTTAAACAGCTGCCGTTTAAATTCTACGATGTGAATCATTATAGCACATTGACGGGAAATAATGTTCTTTTTTTTCTCTTGTATGTATCACAGTGTTCGATGACACCTTCATGTTAGAATATTTTGTGACACGTCCTGAGATTCTACTCAAGTAAGAATATCGTTACGAATCGAGCGCCGACACGCAATCGACAGTTCGATCAACGGTCTCAGCGATTTCTTGGCACAATATCAAAAGAATTCGCGGTTATTGCGAAATATCCACAGCCCTGAATCGATTAAAGCATATCTTCTTTTTCCCTCTCCCGATATACCAATTTTGGGAGATCGATTAATTTTGCTATGTTTAATCGAAGTTTAATTCATAGCAAAAGTATAATCATACATAATCGAGATACATTAAAGAAACAAAGTATGAGTAAAAAATGAAGAGATGTTCCCACGAACGATTACAAATATTAAATTATGAAACTCGAGTGCATTATATGTGCGTTTAATGTGCAAATTATTCGTTCGTAGTATGTTGTTTTCAAGCATCTCAGGTACGTAAGCGTGGACGAAATTTTGTGCCCTTTTATGACGTAATTTAATATCCACGGACAGTTCTTTCATTTTTTTTTATATCGTTTTGTTCCCAAAATAATAAATCTTGAAAATGAGTGTTTATCTCTAAAATTAGATTGTATTATTTCACATTAAATCAGGCGGTGGTCTCTGAAATGCAATGCTTGCTACTGAAATACTGCAAAGTCCTGCCGTTATCACTCCCAAGAATATATAAACTGATGTAATTAGCCAAAAGGCAAATAAGTATAATGTTTTGTTACAGTATTTGCCAAGAGCTGGATCATAATTTGGTTCGTACTCTTTATATACCCACATTGAACCTACAGAACACAAAAATGTTAAAACAAACTGATTATGAATATAGTAAGACGCATCATAGTAAACTATTGATGATATTACTGACCTATGATAAACCAACCAAGCATAAAACAGTTAATTAACGTCTGTGTAGGTGATTGTCGTATCCTTTCTTCATCTCGTTCTTCTTGACGTTGACGCACTCTTGCAGATAAATGTAACAATTGTTTAAAGACACCGAAACCACCACCCACTAATAAATAAACAGGAATATATTCTCCTTGGGGGCAATCATATAGATAAAGTCCTCCAATTACCATCATACATATTGGAACTACTAATGTTACTCCTAAGATAATAGTGCATCCAACTAGAATCATTAAAACATAAAATTAATAGATTTTCTTATAGAAAAAATAAATTGCATTATAATTTAAATATTTTACTTACTTGTGCCTAAAAGTAATACAATGATATTTTTCAAAAAATTGAATACACCTTTAGAAACTTTATGAGCTTCTCTCATACGACCAAATAGTGAATCATATGATGGAGGAGGAGCTAAAAAATAAAGATTATCACTTGTCTATGACAATAATTAAAATAGAAACTATTTTCTCAGATTGAAATAAAGAAAAATATTTTTACAGGATCATCGCTATTATTTCAAAAGAATTACAAACATTTTATAAGTTAATTTTCACATGTACTTAAAGTTTTTATGTAGTTTTATTGTAGTAAGATTTATATCAATGTTCAGTTCTCACAATTATTTACCATTTGGATCTATAGCTTCTTCGTAAGAAGGAGGTGCACCACGATCATTAGTTAAAGTAGATGGATGTCCAAGAGGTAAATTAATATTATGGTATGAAGGTGGAGGAGTATAACAAGTCGAAGCTATTTCAGTACCAGGATTTATGCTTTCACTCGTATTGAAATTAGTTTGATTTATTTGACTCAACGGCATCTCTTCACGTATGTTTGTTGCTTGAAGCCAATGCATAGGGATTGCATTAAAAATTCCTTAACGTTTGGTCGTTGTCGTTACTGACAACAGCATGCATGCAATTTTATAACCTATAAATAGGTTTCGCTATCTCAGCGAGTTTAATGCGATATTTAAAACCGCATAGTGTTAAAATATGGCACACGTTTTCTCAAAAAAAAGGTAAATCGTCTAATTAAAACAATTCACTGTTATACACTTTGACTAAATTTATATTGTTGACACAAACAGAGGAAAATAAACACTCCGAATATAATGTATATTTTTGAGAAATATGTCTATTATATCGTATGTTTGAAATTTCAAAAGCAGCCAAGAGGTAAAAGTTGCGCAATGTCGAATTTCATTTGAAAAGAAAAAAAATACTTTACAAATGCACGATCTGTCACACCCCCGTTACTGGGAACACAAAACAATCTTATCACGCAAACCGGCGTCTACATTTGATTATGCCCACTTTTGCCGAAGTGAACCACAGTCAGATTGTTGCACCACAGAAGTATGCAACATTTCTTTATCAGTTTTATAACATAACAATATTATCTTCGAAGACACCATTAATTCAGTATGCTTACATTTGCGCCACAATAAACCATGTGCGGCGTACGTACAAATTAGACTGCCTATCGAATATGATATCGATGATTCGATTACGGCTGATTTTATATCGAGATTTTAATCTGATTTGCGAGATTATTGGCATTCTATTTGATCGCATTTAACTAATATAAAATAAAAATTGGTTATTTAAAATTATAATTTTGAACCTGTAAATTAATTAAATCTTTACATTAGAGAAAAAAAAATAAATTAAATTATTCGGAAAAATAATTTCTACGTATATTGTAATTTTGAAGAAACAATTTCTTGTATACTGTGAAATTAATAATTTCTTTGTTAAATGATGAACATTATAATAATTTTAGAACATTATATAGAATGATTTTAGTATGAAATGAAGTTTTTCGTTGTATAAATTATACGTGTATATGTTATCATATAGCATTAGCATTTTGCAAAGGACATTTACATAGTGGAACATATTTTTATCTGCAATTGCACTTAATTGACGTGTAAGGTGTTTTTGATATTTTACTTTTTTATGTTTTTCATATTTGATAATTGTAAAATAATAATAACGAAATTTGCTAACAATAAAACGTAATAAGTTGCTTACAAAAACAGTTTAAATAATACTGCAAAAATAAATTTGCAAAATTTTTAAAATATTGAAATATATTTTTCATTTACTGCAATAATGACATAACTCAAAAATCACAATTATTAAATTATTAGTATAGAAATAACAATTTTTGTATCTTTTACTAACAGTCTTGAAAGTTTATTTGTTATTTTTGTGTAATGTCCGTACAAAATTATATCGCATTAAAATACTTAAATCCGTTCCTCCAAAAAGCTGTGATTACTGCAGAAAATGAGCGATATATCGTGATAAAAATGAAAAGATGAAAAATTTTATTGCCATGTTATTTCTTGTTAACTAGGAGAATTATAGTATCGCATGAAACGTAATTTGCTACAGATGTACATGATAAATTTGTTAAGTAATATACGGAAAAATCAGCGTTTGAAGTCCGGACTAGTTGTTTCTCCATTTTACGTCGTTACGACAAATTTTGTCTATGTATTTAATTAGATTTCTCACGATTTCATATCGATAAACAGCAAAATGTCACGCAACCATCGGTACAAAGCCTCATTCGATGAAAAATGTTCTAATTGTGTAAAATTTATTGTTCCCGCAATGGCCAATCGGAATCAAATTGCAGGGGGCGCTATACAACATTTTTACCTTTAAATATGAACCGAGGACTTGGTAAGGTACATTGAAAAATTCCTTCAATAACAGTCAAACCTTCTATCGTGAATTCCGCAATGGCACCGTCTATTGCAAAATTATTCTTAGTTTCTGTGATATGCGCCATTTTTTATAATAAGGTAAGAAAATTTAAAATTTGTAAAGATTTCATGACGAATTTCTAATATTATAATTATAAGCAATTTTACACTAATCAACTGGATTTATATCATTTTTAGATCAGGCCAATTAATCGTATTTTTACAAGATTTTTATTCTCGTATTTATAAGATTTTATGACGAATCTTTATTTTTATAATTATAAATAATTTTATTAAATGTATTTTTATTTATATTACTGGAAAATTTTGTATTACTCTAAATGACAACAAACTTCAGATTATTTGTTAAATTTTATTATATTAATTATTTTATTAATGTATTAATATTATTTTTGTACATTTTTCAATAACAAGGTTGATACAGTAAAATTTTTAATATTCGAATTGATAGAGAAACATAGTAGATGAAAAAATTTAAAATTATATTTTAAATAAAATAATACAATAATTACAAAGAATAAGATATAGTTATAAATGTAATATTTTTAGTATTGTAATTTACAGGTTCTAGCTACTAAATAACTTTTTTTCTTAAACCATCTGATGATTCTTAATTGATGCCATAATTTAAAACGTGAAATGCTTTATCGTCATTCTCATTAGAATTACTTTTTATATATCCCTTATAAATTATATAAAAGACACAAAATATTAATTATGACATTTAATAGTCATATTATGACACATAATATATATTTAAAAGTTAGTTATGTTAAATAATATGTTAATTATTACACAATAACATATGTAAACGCATACATATAAATTTACATACCTTGATCCCAGAGGCCAAGTGTATTTATTAATCTTATGAGAAGAGATATACGTTTTTTATTATACAGTGTTTTACTAAATCAAAAACCGTTTTTCTCAGTTAAAAGTCGTTTTCTCCAAAACCGCAAGAAATATTAATTTTATCTTCTCCTGATTAAATATGGCAGACTAGTCATTTAATTATACGATCAATTAAATTAGAACAACTTTTAGGAGGTCACAAATCTGTATATTTTCTTTAAAAAAAATATCTATCTTTTTAACATACATCAGAATTTTATTTGATAAATTCTGTACAAAAAAGTATTAAAGTATAGTGTTAAAAAAATTAATACTTTGATATCTTAAATTTAAACGTAAAAAATATTACACGAAGATTTAAAATATCTCACAAATTGATTTTGGTTTATGCTGTATTTTAATATTTTTTCCATAAATTGGTTCATGTAAGAACAAATATTTATGTAGTTTTATTAAAGTAAAAGAAATATACTCTTTTCATTTTCTCACGAGTCAGTCGCTATAAATATTTCTTATTACAACTTAAATCAGAATTATCGAAAAAATTTAAATTGTAAATATTATATTTCAACGAATTAAATCACTGTTATCTAACAGTACATAATAAAACAATCTTTTTATATACATGTATGGTTATTTTATTTTCCAGGTGGAGGCCGTTACGGTAACAATAGTTGACATTAAGACAGATATTCCTAGTAATGATGTTATTGAAGATTGGAATAATGATCTCGTAGATAGTCTCATTACCTCAACTATCAAGATTAAAAAAAATTGCCCAGGTTCAATAGAGGTAAACAATGAAGTATATAAACATTTCAATAAATTTAAATAAATGTGTACTTTATTCATTTTCACTTTCTTTCTTTTTTCCTGATCATAAATTAAATAGACTAATAAGGAAAATATTTGGGTTATACATTTTATTATAAATCAACATTTCGAAACTTGAAACGGGCTTTCATTAAATTTTCAATTATTATTCATAATTTTCAATGCTTACATGTAGTATATCTGTAAATAAAATTCATCATAAATAATACGTAATATTTTATTTCTCAAGTAATTAGCTTTTAAATTTATTCAGCAGATGAAGTATAAATAAATTTTACCGCCCACCCCCAATAAAATTCTTTTTTTTTTGAAAATAATAATTTGTTTGAAAAATTAAAAAAAAAATGTTTAAATGTATAAATGTGTAGTATATAAACTTTAATAGGAGACTGTAGCAAGATCGAAACGTTGATTCATGAGATAATATATTTTAAAACATTAGTACATAATATAAAATAAAAAATATAAATATAAAATGTATAACAGAAAAGCATAACAATTGTTAAAATCTATTTAATTTTCAACTGAAAAAAAAAATAGGAAAAGACATCAGACACTTTTCATTACAAATAATCAATCCATAAAAAGTAACATTTTAGTTAATGAAAAAAAGTATTCTAACAAAAGTGTAAAGAAGAAAAATTACAGGTACAATGGATTTAAATAATTCCCTCATTTTTAGGCCGAGATAAAGATATATCAGGATAACAATTTGGTTAAACAGATGGCTCAAAAATTGAACAAACCAATGAAAGACGTCGAGGGTTACAATATTTGCGAATCGATCGATAGTCCAGATATTGATGACGATTGCTCCTTGGGTGAAGTAAGTAAAAAAAATTCTTTTCAGTTAATTCTTGAAATAATATAAATATTTTCTGATATATTTCTTACAATACTATGAACAAAAATATTTATAAAATAATTCTATTTATCAAAAGTGCAGATACATCATTTTGCAACTTAAAATTACAATATTTATAATATTATGATATTAAGTATTATTAGTAATATTATTAATGATTATAATAATATTCAAATATTTAAATAGTAAAAATATCACAGCTTATATTATATTTGCTCAGACTTATATTATACATGATGCATTTTTATTGATTTTCAGTGTATAAATAATTTTAGTCTATTATTCACATTTTTATACATTTATCAAGATCGTTCTTCTAGTAAAAAATAATAAATAGTTTAAACAACACATACCATTACCCAGTTTCGAGTAATAGTAAAATGAAATAGTCGGATTTCACTCTATTGCAAGATTTCAAAGAAATCAATTATATTCAAGTTTCAAATTTTGTACTTATATATTTTTTTTGTACTCACAAATTCTACTTGTACATTTAATCATTATTATACAACAATTATTTTTTTATCAATTTAATAGTTATTAAACGGTAATTGTAGTTAATTCAATTAATAGTTATTAAATAATTGTTACATATAATCAAATTTATGCTAATTAAATAATTTTTATATGTGATTAAGTGAATTATACAAAATTGAATAGAATAATTAATATAATTTAAAACTCGAATATAAGTAGATTGCATGGCAACTTGCAACAGAGAATATCATATATACGTTAATATAGATACGCGTACACTGTTGGTCTAAATTAAAAGTTAACTTTATTTTTTGCCAGATCATCATCTTATCATGTTACTTTCGTATTATCAAGTGAGGATGCAAGAAAAACAATCATATTAAAAAGTATTTCAATTATAAACCTTAAACAATGAAATATTGTGAATTTTATGAAAAATGATATTTAGTATAAATGTAGGTTTGACGAAAGACAAATTATTTAGTAACTAATTATAAATAGGAACTTTTTTCAATAATCGAATGCTAGTCCATTATTAACCAACTGGAAAATTTGGGATTCGGTTTTTAATTAAATATTCAATCAAATTTTTATAAATTCTTTTACTAAATTTTTTAAAAACTATACATGTAGAGAAGAAACAGTTCGCAGATTTATGATCAGCACACAAAACACTGTCGACACGAATCGAGTTGTTAAAAATGTTGAAATATATTACACAGGACTATTAAGCCATTAAATATATATTTTGTTCTCTTTAAAAATTCAACGTATTAATATTTTCTATACATTCTCAATAATATATATGTATATCCGGAGACCGTGTCAACTGTTTTAAAATATGAATACTGTGAATACGAAAATATTTGAATACTTTAATGAATGCTTTCATTGCGATAAATAAAAGCACAATTCTATTAAAATATGAGTATATTTCATAATTTCCTTAAAAATAAAAAAGCAAATGTGACTATAAAATTTATCATATTTTACCTTATCTGTACTAAAATTATAGGCCGGAATTAATATAATCTCAATTTAAATTAACGATCGTTTAGATCATCCGCGATAAAAAAAATTCAGTTTATATAAGCCAGATGGTTTTAACTTATATCGATTCAATATCACAAAAGAAAAAAAATATCCTTCCATGTATAATTTTATTCAGTACATTTTAAAAACTTCTAATTGTAAGAATAAATAATGCAATATTTTAAGATATTTTATAATCATATTTGTTTATCTTCAAGGAAAAGATGAAATATCGTTTATATTTTAATAGAATAATGCTTCCATTCATTGCAGTGCAAAATACACAGCATGATTTTAAAATAGCCGTCACGTACTACGGATATAAATAACATTCAAAATGTATACGGAATACTAGTGAACTATAATTGCAAAGAGAATAACAAATATTTAGCAGTTCAAGGTTTATAAACCTGACAATTAGAATATAGAAAGATATTGATAAAAAAGTTAATTGAAAACCTTGTTAAGTGCAGTGAAACTTGGTTTCCAGTTAATTAACGATAATGGAGTTATCTGGTTATTGAAAGCAATTTTGGAATTAATTACTAAACAAATGTTTATTTTACAAATGAACTTATACTTCTATCTAATTTGCAATATCATTTATTACGAAAAGAGCGATAATTCGCGTATATAAAAATTACAAGCTCTCGTCTCATAGTACTGTTTCTTTTTCGCATTCTAGCATGATATGAGGTAACTAAAAATCAAGTGAACTTATAATTTTGGCCTGCACTGTATTTACGGGTCAAATTATGTTGAAATTCGGTGCACACCGCATGTTTTGGAATGTGGTTGCACTCCTTCAAGTGTAATAAATTTCAAAAACGCTCAAACGTGCGTTTTATTTAATAGTTCATTTCAAGCGATAAAAATGAAAACAAAATAAAATAATAATTTTGTATTGGAGATGAGAAAAGCAAAATTTGAAATTATATGCCCTCACGATATAATGTAGGTACTCTAATAATACTAAGAATGTCAACCATGGGATGGGCAATGTATGCCATTCTATTCAGCCAGTAACAGCAAAATAAGCACGTGCTTAGAACATTAAGTGAACGAGGGCATCATGAAAGTATTCCATTGTCAAATTTACTACCAGTCATTTCTTTGCAACTCTTATATCATCAAAATTTCACAGTTTCAAAAGTTTGTAAATTCCAATAACCCAAAATCCCAAAGTTTCAGTCTGAAGATTCAAAGTTTCAAATTCAAAAATTTCAAAGTCCTAAAGTTAAAAAATTCCGAAGTGCCAAATCATTTCGAGAAAAAGAATTTATGTATATAAAATATGCCAATAAAATATATATTGTTGGCAAAAAATATTAACTAACTTTGTCGTTGATAACGATTATTGTGAACCATTGTAATTTTAAAATGGCCATCTAACGATCCTGATTATTTTATTCATCGAAGCATAATAATAAAATGAGCATATATGTATTTTATCGACATACCCCGTATATTGTACGTATAGATGTACTAAAATCGTTTAAGTGACCAGAATTTAGAATTTAAAACCTTGAGAGATTACATTTAGTAATGTGTAACTACCACATCTTGCATACTCAAATAATTAAATGTACAGCTATTTTTACTCTTACGATTCAAAATACTTATCAGCAAATTTTGTACAGATAACGATGAACAAACGTATATGAAAATTTTCTTTTTTTAGGGCGACCAATTTACACAAAATTGCGACATCAGAAGTTGGTTCAATGACATGTCACCTGGAGACTACCAAGTCGTATGTGACTTTATGCAGGGCGAGTTGATTTCCACCCTCACCATCGGCGTAAACATTCAGGAGTAACTACAAACATATAGTATATAGCAAATGTTTACTGTACTAAATATGTATACTACTTTTATTTTTCATTGATACTTCATTTTTAGTATTATTAAAGTAACTTGTCACTTTTGAGTAATAAAGTATATTAGCAAAGTACAAACATTGTGATGAATTCATTGTTTATAGTTTCATTTATAATTATTCATCGCAAGTATAGCAAGCGGGCGCGGGCGCGTAACCTTTATGATAAAAATCCGAGCAATTGTAGGAGGCAATATCGTATATATATACCAATGGTTTTGTAATAAAATTCTCTACACTTTTTGTCATTATACAAATTTGAATAAATTGTAAAATAAGATTATGACAAATTTTTTTGTTATAAACAAATTGTATTTTGCAAAATTCGTTGACATCCTGTTATTATACGCAAGAAACCATACAACTTTCCCATGAGAAGTTTTAATGTATCTCGTATGGTTTTCGAGATAGCCAAAAGGGGTCGAAACTTTAAGGGCTCGTTTTACCCCTTAAACCCGCGTCTCAGCCGATAAAAAAAATACGTGTCCCTAATTTTTGCCTGCTTAACAAACCTACGAAGTTTCATCAAAACCGGAGGGGGACACTTGCGTGCCTTTCCTTGTTAGATGTAAATTATCTAAATCATGAATTTAAAATAATATTTTAAATAATCATAAACAGTTCAATATGCTCAAATTACTTTCAAATAACTTCCTACTTAAGTATGTATGAATCAAATATTTTTTTTATTTCTATTATATCGTAGCAACATTTTAAATAAACTTTTTGTATTTCTAATATTTCATTTGAAATAATAAAATATGGAACATATTGCAATATACCACAAAATTTATAGTTAGTATATATGGCATCATATAAATTAAAAACATAATAAATTAATACATTTTTGTAACAGAATTTAGTTTTACATATTAATTGCTAATAACAATATTGTCTATTTTAATTTAATAATCTTACTATTTTACCTTATATTATTTTAAAAATATCAGTCTGCTTTATTCCTAAATTGCTCATATAATATTAGTTTCTTTCTTTACAAATATATCTTATGTATTCAATTTATATTGTATCTGTTGTACATATTTCAAAAAAGTCAATAAATTGTTGTGTTTTTGTGAATGAGAGGTAATAACAAAACAAAAAATGAAGGTATAAAAGCAGTACGCTAAATTTACTTATATTTTTAAGAGTGGATTTCCTCAATGTATTATTTCTATTTGACAGCTGATGCACGAGCTTTGATTGAAATTTCTTCTTTTGTGAATCATTAAGTATTTTCTACTGTGCAGTAACAATAAAGAAAAATATTTGCTAACATTAGAAGAAATAATATCCTCAAAATGCTTTATCAAAACATATTAATCATACTATTTTAAATAAAATATAAATTCGTACTTTGATATTAGCTCTTCTTTTCATAATCAATGTACTTGATGAATCAATAGTAGAATTGATACACATATTTTCTATAGTAGAAAAGCTTAGATAAGTTCAATTTTCTTTTTAAAATTTATTAAAAAATAACTTAAAACCTATTAGTAATAATTAATAGTGCATGAAATAGTGTATACTAATATTTATGCTTACTTAATGTCGGATAACTTAATTTGGTATTGTTTCTCGGCATTAATATTTTTTGAATTTTTGGTGGTATATGTTGTGTCTGTTTAATATTTGTGATGCCTATTTTTGCTGGTTGATTTAGACTATGCTATTATTTCCAGTAAATAAATATAATTATAAAATTATTCGAATTTAATTAAAATAAAATTATTTTTCAAGATATAAATGGTAAATATATATACTAATGTATCTACTTTCAATCACTTTAACTTTGAAATATGTTGTCAAGGTCAATGTTCTAATTAACTTTTCTTTATACAGTGGGGTTTGTTATTGTAATCACAGATGATGTTATTAATCACTTACTATTATCATAATAAATCACAATAACAGGCATTCAACTTTAGTTTAAAAAATGGCATATATTTTGCCGGTTTTAATGACTTTGAAATACATTACTAAGATTAAGTTTTGAATAATTTTTATAAATAAAATATTTTAAGGTCAAGATGATTAAAAATGAATACATCTGTATATTTACTCATAAAATATTATATATATGAAAAATCTTGTATTATAATTGTAAGCTTACTTTATCCTTCACCCCTTTTATGTCCTTTGCATTATCGATAAAACCTAAATTAATCAATATTTGCATTTATGTACAATTATAAAATGTTAATTTCATATAAGATACCTTTTAATGGAGTATTAAACTTTTCATATGACTTGTCTTGAACTGAGGATACATTTATGACATTGGAATCCTTCAAATCATAAATTTGCTATATTAATCAACTTAAAAAGTTAAACGTTGTTTTATCTAATAACAGAGTTTACCATAAATGGAGACATCCAAACATGATCTCTACCATCACGTAATCGTATCCTTGAGTTTGCTTTAACATTATAATAATAAAAAATCAGAATTTCCGTTTACATATTAGGTACAATAAAGTTTTTAAATAATTTTATTGCAATATGAGTATTTTTTCTTATTGCAATCTTAAAAACCTTTAATGTTAGGTTTATCAATTTAATGTAATTTCTTTGGGCACTTTCATTATTCGAGTGATGTTTGTATATTAAATATCATTTTTTAACATAATAAATTCGTATAGCACAGAAAGCATTATAATAGAATTAATAGATAGATATTGATAACATTTCATCAATGTGTTTAAATACTATAGATATTACATCACTTTATATTTAATGTTACAAGTAGTATTTAGTGATATGTGATAATATAATATTAAAAATTGCATTATTATATAAAATTAAGTATAATAAATATAGAATATGGAGGTTAACTCATACTTTGATCAACATAGCCTATATCAGAACTATCGCGCGATGTATAAATTCCATTTTTTAAACAAACTTTCATCCTTCGTTGTATATTTTGCATTTTACGAACCATAAAATATCGATTAAGGTTTATAATCAATATCAATTAATACTAATAATTAATTGATATCAATTATGTACAATAAAATGATCGTTGAAACAAAAATAATTACTAAATTATATTAGACAACATAATTTAGTAAATGCAACGGTATTGTTTTTTTTTAATTCGTCACCATATTCATTTATAATAATATCTGTATATTTTATCAGTACAATAATTAGTTTTTAATAAGATTACAAATTTTAATATATTATTTATGCAACGCAATAATGATGTAGCAAAATTTTTGGCACTATAATAAAATGGTACTTTTTGGAAGTGAATTATGATTTAAAAATATTACAACAAATTGCGTACTTGAAAAAATCATTTATTTTATATCATTCTATGAAAATCTGTTTACAAAAATATATTTTTATTTTAAGAAGTTATTAATCAAGTACTTATTCATATGTATTTTTTAAATAAGAAAAACAATTACGAATGAATTTTGTATTTTATGACAATAATATAACATCTGTTGGTAAATTACGTAAATTTCAAGTTCAACAAGATCTGGCTTCATCTATTTTCTGTTAGTATTATTATTATCTTTTTACAGATTATATAGCTATGAATTAGGTAAAACGCTTTAATAAATATATGTATATGCAATTTAAAATATATTATTAGAAACAAATCCACAAGTATTTAAATTATTAATTGATTGTATGCATAAAAACATGAGTATCAAATATTTTAAACACTTTATACTATACAACTGACTGTTCATAGAAGGATTTATTGAATGAAATTATCATTTATCGATGACCTTTATACCTATTAACATAATGTTGACCTTTGTCTGCGATGAAAACCAATCAGCTGATACCAATTTTCATAAAAATTTTTTTTAATAATAGTTCTGTTGATTTAGTTGGCAACACATATTTACGCATTTTCGAAGAATGATTTTACTTGATTAGATTTTATTACTAATCCTGAATGACAACACATATGTGCTATAAGTGACGAAAAGCTTCTGTAATTTGTTGTCACAAACGTCTTTCTTTGATACTCTGTTTTAATGTGCTTTCGAACTATTCCTGACATTGACAGCTATGTTACTTCAAAAATGTTTTTCTGGCAGATCGCTCAGCGGATTCAGAATATAGATTAATTATATTCTATTACGGTTATCGTTGTGAAATATGGATAACGTAACAGTGAGTAATAAATAATATTTCAAGTTCAAAAAATAATAATTTTCCTAACCTTATTAGACCAAATAATTGATCATGTTTTGTCTGCTTTGTTGTTATGTTTACATATAAATTTACTATTATAAAAATTATATAAATAAACCTAGTTCTGTAAATGTTGTTAATGTTAAAATTATTATTATTTCATATATATCTTCTTTATATATTTAAATTTAAAAATATGAAAATGGAATTTATAATAATTTTAAAATAAAATATTTACATAACAACTTAGTGTTATATTGTGTTATAACTTTAGGGAATAATACATGCCATATACAGAGGATTTGTGGATAGTTTGAGGGGAGCTATTGTTTTATTTTATATGGACAAACGTATTAATGAAAAATTATTGAAAAAGTCCCCCTCTAAAATAGAAACTCATGGAAAAGAAGTTGCCATTGTGCATAATCCCTCAAAATGTTATAATCAATTAAGGTATAAAGTTGATATATATATATATATATAGATAGATAAATATATAAAATTATAGAATTTTAATATCATATAAATATTTTATTATACATTTTCAGAGAGTCTAAGGTGCTAAAAAGAACTATTCAATGTTGTGCATTAAATGGTGGTGTATTTTGGGCTAGTATCTTGATTTTCGAATGCGGTCTATTACCATTTCTTAAGTACTTACTAAGCATTATATTTGGTCATTCACCGACTATGGGTATGACTGTATGGTCTTGGACAAAACCATTTCTGTCATTAACTTTTGGCACTGTATGGGTATTACCACTATTTCTGCTCAGTAGGATAGTCAACAGTTTATGGTTTCAGGTATGCTTTCAGAACAAAATTTTTAGGAACAACTGAAAATATTATCACACGTTACATCTTTGTAAATCACGCAGGACATAGCGGATAGTGCTTATCGGTACAGACAGGGAAGACCACTACTTCTCTCGAGTGTGAGCAAACTTGTAGCTGATACGCTTTTTAGCATATTAGTTCAAGCATTATTTTTGGGTCAAGGAATGTTGGTTTCCAGGATTCCATTACCCCCTATAGGTGATATTCTTGCTCTTATACATATGTGCCTTTTATATGCTCTCTATGCTTTTGAATACAAGTGGTTCAATATGGGTTGGGAGCTGCATAGACGGTTAAGTTTTATTGAAAGTAATTGGCCATATTTTGTGGGTTTTGGTCTGCCATTAGCAGTACTTACCCAAATGCCCAATTCTTACGTAATAAGGTAAACAATTATTTTAAATATTATATTTTTCTTCTTTTAAAAGAATTTTAAAAAAGAGTATTCTAATTTCAGTGGCTGTGTTTTTTCTATATTATTTCCATTATTTATTGTGAGCGGAAATGAAGCAGAACCTGTAACTGGAGTATGGTATATATCTTTAAATTGATATATAGATTGCATACTAATTTAGAAATTTCCATTTTGTGATTATAATTTACTGTTTCAGTGACTGCCCGTTAAAGTTATTTTCACCAGTAATTGCTATTGCAAATACACTTTTCAATAAGACAATTGGACCTGCAAATAGACGGTGACAAAAAAAAGTTTAAGTTGCTAATTTGTTTGGAATAATAAATATGTAGCAATAAGCCGTTTTTCAGGTTTTTACATATTTCTATTATTTTTTATTAGATGTATACTTAGTTGATTTTCTTGTATTAACAAAGCAATTAAGAATAGAATTTTTATATTGTATATGGATATAAACAAAATTAAAAAACAGCTTATGTAATGTTATTATTATATGTAAATAGAAAAAATATGTTCATAAATGTGATGTAAATACGCAGCAAAAAATCGCAGTAAGGAATATCTGTGAATGCTTTATATTAAGTAAAGTGTTATTTAAGATACATTAATATCTATAATGTTATTTAGGAAATCAGCATACATGTTCCTTGCTGTATTATGCAAGATTAAATTAAAATTCGTAATTTTATACAGTTTTATTATTAATATTGAAACATGAAAAAGTAATATCTTAGAGTAATTACAGAAATACCTTTTACAAATTATACGATAGGGAAACGTCATTGCCTAAAATTTTGCACAAGTGAAAGATAGTATCTTTCTTGTTGTATCTATTGCAATACACTTTTCATTATGGTAACTGAAAAGAAATGTATATGGAATGCTTTTTTATTAAACTAAACTCTTAAGTTATATGTTGTGTCTTGTACAAGGACGTCTTGTTTTGTACAATATAATATTTATAAGCTTTTAGGGATTCAAACGCTATAGATATTTCAGTAATTTAATTATATATAGCATATTCTATTGAAACGAACACAATATAAAAGATAAAATAAAATTTGTTCAATCATAAACCCGAGCAAATGAGATACTAAATGATTCTAAAGAAATGATTAAATTTGTAAATACATATATCGCCTAAATGTATATATTTTATACTATAAACTTAATAATTGTACTTGATATTATATTGTAAGAAAGAATCTGCTTTTATTCCTGAAATTATGAAACCCTGAATTTTGTTTTACCGTGACTAGTCAACTGTAAGACTTACATTGTAATTTGTGATGATAATGTTTATTTTAAAACATTTATAATTAAAAGAAAAGTCAGTTTATTTAATTATATTCATAGAATAATGAAACATGATGTATAAAGTAACAAATGCAAATTATATACTCAGGTTGTGCTGACTTAGATAAAATTTATTTAAATTATAGTTTTATAAGAACATATCATAATTAAAATGATAATATGTCAGCTCAATATTTATAAAATTACGATTTTTGATTATTGCAATTTTATTTGTACATTATTTTAAAATAATATATAAATGTTACGTTAAGAAAAACATTATTTTATACATTGTAATGTAATAAATATAACAAAACAGTTCTTGAAACAAATATTGACTATACTAAAATATTTTCAGTTATGTGTATATAAACACATAATTGTAACTTAGAAAATAATACTTAATAATAATGAAATTTATATAATATATTGGTACATAAAATAAAAGGTTACCTTTTACAAGAAACAAAGTGTTGGTGTGTTAAGTGTAAAAATTATGCTAGAAATTCTTGAAGAGTTAAAAGGTCTTTATCAGCTGGCTCTTCTTTGATTCGATAAGAGTTTGTTAAAGCATAATGCCTATGTAAAGCAGCAAATCCAAGACCTGGATCTGTTTCTTCTTCTGTTATTGGACTTGTTCCTCTTTCCACTGATTGATTTTTACTTACCTAAAAAATATTATTAAAAAATATTATATATATATAAAAATATTATTAAATATTATTAAAGTATAAATTTGCAACTGCGATTACAAATATAATACCAAATTTGGATTACATACTTCAAATCGTTGTTGTTTGTACATAGCAAGCTTACGCGTCCCAGGTGTACTTTGTATGAGATTTTGTACAGTAGGGTGTGAAATTCCAAAAAAATCAGCACCCTTTGGAGTTATTGAACGAAGTGCAGGAGAAATTGCCATTAACAACTTTGAATGACACTCATCAGGGGTAGATCCCACTAATGATTGATCAAGGTCATTATCAGATACTATTTCAAACCTGAAATTCCAAATATTTTATATGTGTGTACAAGAATACATTATTTATATAAACTATCATATACCTTGGTTTCTGTCCACCATCCAATATTTTACATGTATATAAGCTTTTTGTTCTTACATCTCTTAAGTTGGCATATACTCTAGTACTGCAATAACCTACTGGATAAATAAGATCTTCTGTATGATATGCAATTCTATCGGAAACTACTTCACCGAGAGAATAAATAGTGAGATCACCCAAAGCAATAGGAAATATAGGTCTTCCATGTACATCTAATGGTATTAATTGAACTACTTTTCTTGTTGTTTTATTATAACGCTTAGCTTTATTTTTTGTTTCTGAAAAAATTATTCAAAAATTAAATATGATTACTTGTTTTAATATAATAAAATTTAGTACAATATTTTAGTACCTGAACCATCAGTGGAGACTCTCTTTTTTGCAGTCTTTTTAGGTGTGGAGCACTCTGGATTAAATGAACTGGAATTAATACTATTTGACTGAGATCGAGCTACCATAGAGGAAGGATCTATATCTCCTTGTTGTTGACATAATTTACGTAAAAGGAATAATCTTTCCTCTTTCACTAACATAAGATTTTCTTGCATTTGTGCTACTTGATCACAAAGAGCTGCATTTTCCTGAAATTAGGATAATTACTCATTTTCATTTTTCTTAATTTTATTTTATTTTATTTTTATAAAACAAAGAATCGTTAACTACTATGATAAATATAATCTTACGAATACTGTATCCTTAATGATTCGCTTTAATCTTCGATATTTCTTTTTATATTTCAGATTTTGTTGTAATTCGGCATTCTTTTGAAAATCATTATAATAATTATCATAAGCCTGTGTCATTTTAAATGCATTATATTAAACACATAATAATCAAAGAGGTTATGGTTGAACAATGTTTGTGATAAAAAATATACAAACGGCTTTGTACAGGTTAGGTTATAAACTATAATTATGTATAATATAGGCGGTAAGAAGCTTGAAAATATATTTGCGTAACCATAGACATGTACATTCTAGTAGAGCAAATCTGGCTTCACTAGGGAAAGTGGCATTACACAAGAACATTGACAGGCATTATACCTAATTTACAGGAGGCATTTTCAAATTTATTAAATTGAATTTATTAACAATGAACAGAGGCTGTGTTCATAGGCTTAGCTACAATAATGCATTTGATAGTCTGTATGTCGTACATTTACAGTGTTTATGATGTAGAGGTTTTATGTTTTTAATTTGTAACATCAGTGGTTATACTGGAATGATATATTCAGATATTGTGTTTGCATAAAGATATTCTGTATAAATTGGTTAATTATTTTTCTAGTGACAAAAAACCTGACGGCGACTTACAGAAGTTCTGTCGACCTTTGTCTATCTTATGTATTTTTGGTTAGGAGAGACAAGGATAGTAGATATCTATTTTTCAAAAATGTGGAAAATACGAATTCTAAACGCCAATGGCATTTTGTTAGAAAGTAATATTTCGCCATGATTTCTTTTGCATACTACTCTCAGAACTCTAGTCTAGTGCGGTAAAGATCTCAATTTTGGAAAAATGGAACGTGAAAAATTTTCTTCTACCAGAAATTTTAGTTTACAGTTCATAAAATTAATTTTGATAAAATTGTAAAATCAAGATCTTTAGACTTTGTCCTTTCAGGAATTTTTATGGAACAAGTGGCGCCATCTCTCCGGCGAACAAGGTGTTAAAAAAGTTGATTTGTTTTATTTGAGCTATTAAACATAAGAAATATTGTAAATAAAAATTGTTAATTATAATACATGTTGCAGTTTCAATGGCGGCATCTACTTCTCAACCATCCGTTGAAAAGCATATTTCCGTGTATAATTAATCATCATTTATATCAACATTTTGGTTTTCCCTCTGATATAAAGGAAAATTCATTTTGTCGTTAAACGCGTAACGACTCAACGACGTATAAAATAATGATCTAGACGAATTTTTGTATTCTTATCTTTTTATATTTAACCTGGTATGTGTTTATATAAATATCTTTCCTGAGTGCCTGATTAAATTAATAATATTGTGAATAATAAAATGAAAATGAGGAAAATATTCAGCATACGTAGTATATGTATACGGCAGTCAGTAAGGTGGAGCCTTCGCAAATATATTAGGGATCTACATTTCCATACTAATTTAGTAAATATCGATTGCCTTCAATTTAACACATGATAATATGCTTTGAAGAGTGATATTAATTAATTTTAAATGTTCCGAAAGTGTTAATATATTGGAACAATTAATAAATGCAAAAATTAGTTTCGAAATTTAGTTTCATTAGTTTCCACCTTGCACTGGTAGATGGCTAAGCAATTTGTTACCATACCGGTAGGACAATTTGCGAGCTTTAAAAAAGCATAGAAATGCTTCATTTTTTGAAAAAAACGCGTTTGTTTTCATAATTTCTCGCTTGACCGTTAGATAGCTCTGACGGCACCGTTTTTAAACGAAAGCGCGAAATTCAAAATATATCTAAGACTAAGAGCGACAAAATGCTTTCAGATCCTTAAATTACTAATTTAAAAATAAATTATGGTATTTTATATCTACTGTACGTATTAAATAGCTGCAGTACTTACGTTATAGATGTAAATTTGAACGTAAAATTAAATTATAAAGAGAACATCAACATAGGTTTTAATGTAGTTTCTAGAATCATCTTTTTTAAATATGAAGTTCGCAACAAAACAGCTTGTACTTAAAAGTTAGTATGTGCTACAAAAAATTTAATTATCTATCGATTTCGAAAGTGTTTTTTGTAAATTAATCATGATGTGTGTCGTTATTGCACTTGAGTGTACAATCCAAATACTGTAGCTACAGGAAAATTGACTTTCATTTTTCAGCAGTGCGTTATTGCGAGTTATTGTTGTAGCCAGTATTGTTTCGATGTACATGAACTAAAAAAGTGTTCATTAAATATTGGAAACCATACTGATTAAAGAGATGTTCTTATAACTAAAAAGCAATGAAGATCATGAAATAATAGGAAGAGATGTAATTTTATTATTTTTAATAAAAATATATAGTGGACATAAAACAAATTATGACTTAAAGAATTGTCATTTTCATTGTAAATGAAAGAGACACTTAATCCGTTATTTTTAAGCTCGTATGAGAAGAAGTACATTATTTTTCTTATATGATTTATGAACTTGAAAACCGCCAAGAATAAATTAGTAACAAGTTATTTGTCAATAATTGTATTTTTGTCTCTGATGAAACAAAGGATGGTATAAAAATACAGGGTATCTAGAATTATTCTACAAAAATGACTAACTGTCTTGGGTACTATTTGCGTAGATTTCCATGTACTGTGATAATGATGCAACGTTCTCTGGTGTAAAATAAACCCGCTTTTAAATAAGGGCCATAAAGCGAGACTCTATTGCAGCAATAAGTTCTTTCTATGTGGTCGCGTTGAATAATTGAGCCACATTTTTGTGTCGTAGAAAGAAAAACATCATGTTTATTTCAATAGCAGTAGAAATTTACCTTATATTTGACACAAAAATAGTTTATTTAAGATATGCAAAACGGAAACTTACATATACAATGGTGAAATTAACAATAAACAATAATGAAATGAACAATAAAATCAGTTTTGGAAATGCAAGTGATAATTGGGAGTAATAATTGCAATGAACTATTTCATTACTCTGTATAGCCAATAAGTTAATTAATTAATTTTTATGGAGAAAATATACAGTTTTCAATGTATTTGAGAGTTTTCTAATTGCAACGACAGCTTTGGAATCATATTTGCTGCCTCACTTTCGAAAGCATGATGAAATATCATTAAAATTTCAACAGGATAAAGCGTTTATTCATTTAATGCAAACAAATGAACATAGCTGAAGGATTACAATGTTGAAACTTTAAAATGGCTGTCACGTTTCCCAGATGTAAATATCGTTCAAAATGTATGTGGAATAACTGTGAATTGGATTTATAAAGGGAATAAATATTTCATGGTTTAAAAATTAATAGCCGTCGTTGTTAAAACGTAGAAGGACATTGATTAAAATTTAATTGATAATTCCATTAAGGGTGAAGTCTGGGGACCGAATACTCCGAGCATGATTTTTTGAGGATTTTAGAACTTCTGGTGGAAAAATAATACGTTTTGACGGTCTTCGTTTATCTTATGTTGTTTTGGTCAGGAAAGATAAGGACAGTAGTTTGGTTTCCAAATATGTGTAAAAATGCGACTCATATTCTAGTATTTTGGGACGGACTTTTTTAGGTACTTCGAAAACACATATGGGGATTAATGAACCGATAGTATATGTGGGAATGAGCACATAGTATATGCAGGTATAATACAGTCACATGCTAAATGGAGCACATATTAGTCATTTATTTAACCTTTTATTCAAAGTATATATAATTGCCACCCTCTTTAAAAACGCATCTTGACAACATATTTCTATGTGATCAAATTCGGAGGCGATTCCCTTATTCTAAATATTTATCTTAACAAGTATATCATAATCTCATAATCTTGGTCCTGTAAATGGAAAAATGTGACAGAACTGTTTGTAACAATAAACTGGTTCAAAATAATGTGAACCCATACTTTTATATAGTAATGTGCAGCCAAGAATAAATATAGCTTCTGTATAATAAACATACGACAACTAAAGGAGATGAAAGTTTCCATTTATTGATTTCTAGGGATCTAGAGATCTACAAATTAGGGGATGGTTTCAAAATTTGGGAATGTACGGATTTAGGGATATAGGAGTTTAGGGTTTAGAGGCTTGGACGTCTAGGAATTTGAAGATATAAGAATTTAGGGATTAAAGGATTTGAAAAGCTGAGAATTTGAAATTTGGAAATTTAAAAATATAAAAGTTTAGACATCTAGGGATATAGGAATGAAGAAATTTGGAATTCTTGGGATTTGGGAATGGAAAAATTGGAAAATCTGAGTATTTAGAAATCTGCGAATCTGGGGATGAAAAAGTTTGAGAAATTGAAAATTTGAAATTTGGGGATTTGGAAATTTGAAAACTAAAAAATTCAGAAATAGAATAACAGAGATTCGGAAACTACAGGATTCGTAAATAACAAATTTACTGATCGAGAAATTTAGGATTTGGAAGAAAAGGTATTTGCAGTTTTTGAAAATATAGGAATTTAGGGTTTTGAGGATTTGTGAACGTAAGAAATTTAAAAAATTAAAAAATTATAGGATATAGAGATTTGCAAACTCGTAAATTTGAAGATTGGAAATTTTCAGAATATGAAAATATAAGGACTTCAATATTTAAAATTTCACATATTGTAATATTATTAAATTTATTGTTTTCTTTAAAATATTATGCAGTTTTATTTATTTTCATCCTTTGTAGTTATCTTTTCATCCATTTTAAACAAACAACTGTTCCAAACACGTTGCACATCCTGCATGAAGGCCAAGGAAAGAAAATAGACAATTTATTTCGAAAATACGATTTATTAACCTGTCGAACGTAAATTCTGTAACGCACGCATTGTCTTTTGTCATGCTCGTTTTTCTACATTTTCACGCACGCGGTATACAAAATCTATATTGTTACTATACTTACACATCGTGACGCGTAGCTTATAGTTAAACGTACAGTATCCTAGACATTCTTTTAATTACTATGTCGATTCCAGTATTTTGAATCGTTGAAGAGTCCCGTACTTCTTATGCAATTTTATTTAATTATACTGAAATTTTCAGAATCCAAGTTTTCTCTCTTTCTCTCTCATTCCCAATTCCCTCTTCAATTTTAATCAATTTTTGTGTAAATTAATATACGTTCAAAAATTATATTTTTCAAATTTAAGGTTTTGTACGTCATAAGGAAAAATCAATTTCATTCACAGTTTTATTAAATTTCTTAAACAGAAATTTAAGCATACAGAGTATTTCGCAGAAAATGGATTACGTAATTATTTTTTCTAACATAACCTCAAAAATGTGGATAATTGTCTCTGAATTTTCGTCCGATTTGTTGAAAGTATTTAAACTATGTTTCAATTTATTCAAGTGTTTAAATTCACAAAT